CAAGAGCAAGGGATTTGTTGCCTGGTCTATGTATATGCAACAGGAACAGACAGAGTTGTGCTACTTTTATTAGCTGGGAATAATATAATACGCCTGCTGGAAACTTCCTAACAGATAGATAGCACTCCATCTGCCACTCCCACCTAGTATTTTTGCTTGACAAGGGAATATAAGCAGCTTTCTTCCACCCCCTTGCTGAAGAATCTCTCACACCCATCGACACAAACTTTCAGAGGCTACACTGAAAACATCCTTCACAGAGCCAAGATTTTGGCTGTGCGTGCCTTACTGTACTTAAGAGAAGCCTCAGAGTCCTGCCCGCTTCCAAACTGGCGTAAGACTTCCCTTCTGCACAAGGGGACTGGGAAGATAAAACACTGGAGAAAAATCTGCTTGGGTTGGTACTCCCTGCTTACTCAGAAGACAGCTTTTGTATTCAATCCAATAAAAGAGCCACAGACCTGTTGAAGTTCCTCTTACTCGGTGCTCTGCTGTCTGCACTAAGAACAAACCCTCCTTCAATACACCTGCCTTAAGCCAGGAGAAAGAAAACCTGACTGTTAAGCTCCCACAAAACATACTGCAGGATGGACTAACCACCTTAGAGTCAGGAGTAAAATGAGGTGTCATACATGGGACATTATCTCAAGCACATAGAAAAGGCACGTTCTTACTGTTTACTGGAGTGAATATACAGCAGGGAATGTCAGGACTTTTACCAGGCAACTGGGGGAGTCATTCTCCTCCACTGCAGAAAAGTCTCCACCAAGAAGATAAGCTATTATTTTTAAAAAGCCACAGACCAGTCAATATATGCAACAGTTTAGAATACAACATGGTTTTTGCAGAAATAAAGCATATGGACAGAAAGACACCCAGGTCAGGAACTCGAAGACATCATCAGGAAACCACAGAGCAAGGATGTGATCTCAGGATAGTTACATGAAGGAGCTCAAAAGCTGCCAACTCCTCCAACTCACAACCCCAGCTTTCAGCAAGGACACCTGACTCAAAGTAGTGGCACCTAAGAGCAGCTGTAGCACACCAGAGCCCAGACCCACCTATATAAGCCAGCAGTATGCCTTTGACAGGAACCTGTCACCAGATATCTCAAGTAAAGCATAAGTGATTCTGTCTCAAACATTACCCAGCTTCCAACAGTCTGCAGACTGGAAACTGCCTGTCCTAGGCACACAAAGTCCTTCAGAGAAACTAAATAAACCGAAACTTTTGCATCACTTTTCTAGTTTCCATTGAGCTCATCAACAGCTCAGAAGACAACAAGATGCTCTGCTCTCTCCACCACAGGCAGTCATCTTTGGTAGCAGCGAGGAGGACTGGGATGGACCTGGTCTGACTGATGACATGCTTTGAGACTCTTCAGCCTCAACAACGCCAGGCAGTAGAGATCCCTTCACACCAAAAACTTCCCTAAGAACCTAGGCAACAGCCTTGAAGATTGCAAAGGAAACGCATTCTGGCAAAAGGGACTTGTTTCAAAACTGTTTCAACAAAATGGCCACCACCGGGCACTACCTCTAAGGGGTGATGCCATTTGAATTAACCCTCGTTCTAGCAGACACCACACAAAACTCCCAGAGCGAGCCAGGGCGGTGCTGTGGGGGGCAAAGGAAGTGAAACAGCGTAATTTAACGGATACTATAGAGTAGCCTGAGACAGATACATCATTGCTAAAATTCAACAGGATACTGCAACAGGCTGATTACAAAAGCCCTCAGGAGGAGGCAAGATTTTTTAAAATTTACAGGAGTTTACATTCTTCATGAGATGCCACGGAGCAAAGGCTACTGGGAAAGATTCCTCATGGCAAGCAACACCGTGGTGCAACAACAGCCCATCGCCATCAGCTTCCAGAAAACGACATGGAACATCGCCTGGATTTTGCGGTAAACAAGGGCTCACCCTCCTCCTCCTCCTCCGCCTCCAAGGGTGCTACAAGCCCGACATAAAGGCCAAGTCTCATTCGTACAACAGGGAGACTTGGCTGAACAAAAGGCAGAGGAAGATAAATATGGTTTCACAAGATTACGGCGACATTCAGCACACCTTCATTGAGAGCACGGGCTGTGCAAAGCTTCCCACACTCTCCCCGCAACAGGTTAAACACCTTTAAGAAGAGAAGCCGCCGGGAGCTGCACCAGGCCCCTGGGCGCTGGTGGGGAAGCAAAGCAGCGCGGCAGCAGCGCCGGCGGCCAGGTGCAGGCGGGCGCCCCACGGCCCCCG